TGGGGGCTTCTGGGACAGACAGCTCAGCAATGTCTTGCTGGACACGTGGGGACCGCTGGCCGAGACTGGTTTTCTGGGAGGCCTCAGAGGCTCCGGAGTTGTTCCTTCCCACGATGACAAGACATCTGAAGCCACGTTTCCTTTTAGACGTGCCAGTGGTGAGGACGGGCTCCTCCGCACGTCCCTGCGACCAGGACTGCGTGTGAACAGAAGCAGCCGCGCTTCCCGGGGCTCTGGAGTCCCACGCTGGGGGCTGGGGAGCCCGAGGACCCTCTTCTCAATAGCAGGGCTTGGGGACTGGCCCAGGCTCTCGGGCTGGCCTTCGGGTTCTGGTTCAGTTCTTTTTTTTTTTTTTCCCAGCATACAATTTATTTTTGTTTTTTCAGTCACACATGACAGCAGAGTGTATGTTGACATACAATACATACATGGAATGCACATACATCAATCATGTTGTCTGTTCTATTCTGCTGCCCTGCCTATCCCCCCACTCCTCCCCTCCTCTCCCATCCTTTCTCTCTGATCTAATGTGACACACTTTTCTTTTTCTCATCACAACATCAAACATGTATTCTGTATAACAATGAGGGTCTCCTTCCGTCTTCCGTGCATCTCCCCTTCTCCTTCTTTTTCCTCCCACCTCTCTTCCCTATTTAGTGGTAATCTTCTTCTCATGCTCTTCCTCCCTATCCCATTTTGAGTCACCCCCCTTATATCAGAGAAGACATTCAGCATTTGTTTTTTAGGGAATGGCTAACTTCACTTAGCATAATCTGCTCTAATGCCATCCATTTCCCTGCAAATGCCATGATCTTGTTACTTTTTACTGTTGAGTAATATTCCATTGTGTATAAGGTACATTTTTTTAATCCATTCATCTATTGAAAGGCATCCAGGTTGGTTCCACAGTCTAGCTATTGTAAATTGTGCTGCTATAAACATTGATGTGGCTGTGTCCCTGTAGTATGCTCTTTTTAGGTCTTCAGGGAATAGTCCGAGAAGGGGAATAGCTGGGTCAAATGGTGGTTCCATTCCCAGCTTTCCAAGAAATCTCCATACTGCTTTCCAAATTGGCTGCACCAATTTGCAGTCCCACCAGCAATGTACAAGTGTACCCTTTTCCCCACATCCTCGCCAGCACTTGTTGTTGTTTGACTTCATAATGGCTGCCAATCTTACTGGAGTGAGACGGTATCTTAGGGTGGTTTTGATTTGCATTTCTCTGACTGCTAGCGATGGTGAGCATTTTTTCATGTACTTGTTGATTGACTGTATGTCCTCCTCTGAGAAGTGTCTGTTCAGGTCCTTGGCCCATTTGTCGATTGGGTTATTTGCTTTTCTGTTGTTTGACTTTTTGAGTTCTTTGTATACTCTGGATATTAGAGCTGTGTCTGCTGTGTGAGGGTCCTGGTTCAGTTCTGATGGAGCAGCCTTCTGGGCAGGATGGCTTCGCTCCAGTGGTGGTGCAGCCCTGTGGCTGTGCCCGGGGGCCTGGGGTGGGGTGCTCAGCAGGTGCCTGTTGGCTTCCTCTTTGTGCCTGTGGTTAGAGGACAGTCCAGGCTGGTGGCACTGTCGCTGGGGCCTGGGACCTGGGCTCCTGCATTGCGTGTGCCACTGCCTCCTCTGGAGGGGACTGCTGCCCTCCTGACCCTTGGCCCCCCCAGGCAGGAAACAGAGGTCTGTGTTCCCTGGTCACCCTTGACCCAGTGGGCCTGAGTGAGGGCAGGGAGAGGTCAGGGCTCAGCACACTGAGCTTGGTGTCTCTCTGGGGCCTGGTGGTGCTGACCCAGCCTGGGCTGCTGTGCCCAGGGCACCCTGAGCAGCAGCTGCAGGAAGGGAGGTGGCCTAGGGGTGGGCTGTCCAGTTGCACAGGACCTCTGTCTTGGGACAGAGCTGGGCACCTGACCTGATGGCCATGTTTTGGAGTTCCGAGGCCCCAAGGATGGGGAGATTGATTGGCAAACAGAACACAAGAGGGGGAGAAAGACAAGCGTGGACGGACAGGCAGTGTGTATTTCAGTGCCTTGACAGCACTTCTCCTGTCTTTTTGAGCAAGGGACCCCACCTCTTCCCCTGACCTGGGTGGCAGGAGAGAGAAGCTTGCTGGCTGAGCCAGCTGTACCCCAGCCTGGCATGGTCCAGGGCGCCCAGAGGTCAGGCTGCCCAGGGGACACAGTGTCCAAGCCCCCGGCCTGCAGCCGTCACCCTGCCCATCCCGGCCACCCTGGCCACAGACACGCAGCTCCTCCGGCCCCCAGGCGGGCTCCCGCTCCCCTCCTCCAGCTGACTGTGGCCTGGGCTGCAGGGCACCCCCGGGCTCTGCGGCTGAGGTCGCATACAGCTGGTGCTCTGTCTGTGAGTCCAACAAGAAGCAATTAGGGCTTGAGTTGTCCACTTCATTTTTTGAAGCTACTTATTTAGATTGGATTTAAGCTGCTGGCTGGAGGGCGGTCTCCCCTGACATCCTGGGGACAAGCCAAGACAAAAGCCCACAGGTGCCTGGCACCCGGAGCCTTCCTCTAAGGAGCTTCCCAATGGTTTCCCTGGGGCTGGAGGGTCCCCGCTGTCCCAGTGCAGGCAGGGCATTGTGTGCTAGCTGGACTTGAGTCCTAGGGACGCCGCGCATGTCCCGTGGCGGTGGCCCAGCTGGGCCGCCGAGCTGGGCCACCGAGGTGGGATGAGCTCCCTGCCCAGCCCAGGCAGGGAGGCAGGGAGGCAGGGAGGCAGGGAGGCAGGGAGGCAGGGAGGCAGGGAGGCAGGCGGGTCTTACAGGACATCACCACCACTTCAGGGGCCTCCCCTCAGGGCTCACCAGGAAGCTCCAGGAGTGGGGAGCTGCTGAGGGGCTGCGTTGAGGTCTTCACCCAACGCTCTGGTCATCGAGCTGGGGGACACACCCTGCCCCTCAAGTCTTCCTGCGGATGAACAGAGGGCCTCAGCCGGGGAGGGTCTGCTGGGGACCCCCCTTGCCTGACTGGGGAGGCTCAGGCCATTCTGTAGAGCGGTGCCGGGAGACAGCTTGGGAGTGACTCGGCTTTCTGTCACTGTGACCGAAATGCCCGACCGGAAGGACGTGGGGGAGGACAAGCCCCTCTGGACTCAGGGTTTCCAGGGTCTCAGGCCACGGTGGGGACGTCAGTGCTGGGGCCGAGGTGAACAGCTCTCGTGGGGTAAGGTGGGCCCGGGCTTCACACAGGGCCAGGTTCCTTCAACCTGACGGGCTCCAGCTCTCGCGGGACGGCCTGTCCACCGGTGAACACTAGCACCAGAGCTCGGAGGGGCACCTCACAGCCGGACCTTAAGAGTTTAGACAACTTTCTCTGTGCTACCCGTCGACACATTTCTCCGTCTAGTCGCTCTTTTCTTTATCCAAATTAATACCCACGCTGGACACCTGGAAGGACGGAGGTGTGGTGTCTGGCAGGGGCAGAGGGCAGGCCACTACTGGGGTGGGCAGTGAGGGTGGGAAGGACAAGCAGTGCCTTCAGCATGCCCACTTGGGGTGGGCAGTGAGGGTGGGAAGGACAAGCAGTGCCTTCAGCACGTGGCAGGCTGAGGAGAGAGAACCAGAGGCTGGCACCTGAGCAGGGCACCTGTGGCCTAGCCAGTCTATGGAAATCTTGCTTTCAGTAGCAGATTTCACAAACGTGTTGATAACTTATTAAAAAGCACAGCCAGCCAGTGAGGGCCGTGGGCGGGCAGGACAGGCCTGTGTCCCCTGCTAGGCCCACAGAGCTCAGGTAGGGGCTCTTGAGTCCTTGGCCTGCTGCCACGGAGAGGGCCCAAGAACTGACCTTGAAAACACAGCACACCCCAGAGAGCAGCACGCACCTGTGAGCGCAGACGCCCAGCTCCTGAGGTCTGAAAGCCTGAATCTGCTCCGCCCAGAAGCCAGCGCATCACCCACCCAGCCCTACGCCTGGGCACGGTCAGGGAGGAACGCCAGGCTCACAGAGCACCCAGAGGCGCAGGTCTGCTGGCCCTGGCAGCAAGAGGCCCTGTCCTGGAGGGGACAGCCCCAGCTTCCTGCCGACCTGCACAACCGTGGGCCATGTCTGACCCCCGAGAAAACGCAAACACACAGGCCATTGGAAGTTTTCTTTTAGTGTAATGGAAACACGGGCAGAAATCATCGACATTCCCTGAGTATTCTGCTTGAATTTTTTTTATAAACCCATTTTATTTCAAAAGGCAGCCAAGAACGTTGCTATAGCCAACCCAGAAAACAAATGTCCAGAGAGCCACTAGTTTGTCTTAATAAATAACAAAATGCCATTTGTATTCCTTTAACCTCAGATAACACATTATACATTTTAAATAAATATCTCCTCTGTTGCTATGGATCTAGAAACTGCTCCCGTGTTTGTGCATGTGACCGAGTCAAGCGGCTCAGAGACGCCCGTGGCTCTGGGTGCCCACAGCCAGGCCCCTTCCCAGGCCTCTGCCACGGCCCTGGACATCACAGGGGACCAGCAGTGCCATGGCTGCAGACACCAGCAGGACGCCTGGAGCTGGGCAGGGGTCACAGTGCCCGGGGGCTGGTTCCTTAGGCAGCGTATGGCCATCTCTGTCCACTTCCTGACCATCAGTGTCCAGGTGGGGACCGAGTCTGGGAAGGGATGGAGAAACCGGTTGGGTAGTAGGGGTCTTGGTTCTGCCTTGGTTCTAATGCCAGGCAGAGGCGGGCTCTGGGCTGGCTGACGTGTCCTTGAGGTCCCATGCCCGGCCTTTCCCGGCACATTCAAGTCCTCCGGGACCCTCGGCACGTGGTGGCCGGATCTCCTGCAGCATGGGGCTCGTACACTTTAACACCTGCTGCTGGGTACCTGAGGGACGGGGCTGCCCGAGTGCTGTGGGTCAGTCACATACTGTATTCAAGGGACTAGACGGACGCACATCTGTGGGGCTGGGGCGGGCAGAGCTGTCCGTCCATGGGCTCAGCTAAGGCAGTCGGACAGCGTTCCTGGACCTGCGCCTGGGTGACTAGTACCGGGAATTCTCAAGTCTGCCCTCGGGCCTTTCCAGGAGCATGTGCCAAAGGCAAGGGCGAGCCACCCGGGCAGGATCCTTCTTCGCTTTCTCTCCAAACACAGTTGTGAAGGACGGGCTCAGCCCTTCCCGCACGGGACTCCGGGGTCAGTGTTCCTTCAGCCTGAAAGAAAAGGGTGGACCAACGGGGTCCCTGCACGGGGTCCCACAGAGCACACCGGCCCTCGCAGGAGCCCCTCGGTGCCCAGGGGCAGGTGGCTGCAGGGAGCCAGCTGGAGGGGGCAGGGGCAGGGTGGGGCGAGGGCAGGGCCAGCCTGAGGCGGGGGTGACTAAGGAGGAAGCTCCCCACCGTCTCCCCGACATGCACGAGCGCCACTGTCCCATGGCACAGCCACACTCCTCACAGAAGAGAACGTGAGCAAAGCCATGTGCCTCGCAGGGACAGTGGCAAGCCCTTCCCTGTCTGGTCAGGGGGCAGATGGACAGGACACCGCTACCTTTATGGTGGTGGGGGGTGGACTTACGGAGCTTGGCCCCCTGCCGTGGGCCCCGGGCAGCTCAGCTCCTTGTGTATGAGGCGGATCAGGAACTGCACCCAAAACAAAGACCAGGCACCTGTCACTGCCTGGGGACACGGGCGGCCAGTGGGCATGGCCTGGGGCCTCCCAGACCCTGGCTCACTGAGCCCCCTGGCCCGGGCTCTTCCTGCCCAGCATCTGCCTAGGACCCACTTCTCTTCAGGGTGGTGGCAGGCTGGCCAGCACATCTGGCCCAGGCTTGTCCTGTGTGTCCTACGTCCTCTGGGAAATTGGGACGCACTCCTGTTCACCTCAGGTTTAAAACGACCAGCCAGTCATCGATGCCCAAGCTGGGAACCCACGGTGAGACGGGGACCTGCAGTCGTGGGCACTGGGGTGACTCGAGCTGTTGAGGTGACCGGGCTGGTGACTCTCAGGGGACGCCAGCACCAGGAGCTTGTCTTGGAGCCCACAGTGGCCTCAGCCTGGTGGCCCCAGCCCGGCGGCCCCAGCAGGCCTCCACCAAGGGCAGCTGCCTCCTCGGCCCTTCAGCTCAGCCTCCCGTCCTCTGTGAGCTCCAAGGGCTCCAAGTCACTTTACAGACCCAGACGGAGGGTGCCCAGGTGTCTAAGTGTCCTTCATGTTTGAGTGTGACTTAGTCCCCTTCCCTGACTGGCACAATCCACAAAACTGGAGTGTCCTGGACACAGAAGCGGGTCCTGAGAGGAGGGGAGTCCTGGCTGGTGGGGACGCGGGAGGGGAGTCCCGGGTGGTGGGGACGCGGGAGGGTAGGAAGAGGGTTCTGAGGGCCCGTAAGCCCCCCACGCCTTGGGCCAGCACCCTGAAGGCAGACACCCTGTTTTCTTAGATGTCGGGGTTCAGGTCGGAGTCCTGGGGGTTAAAGCTGGAAGAACAGGAGTGTCCCCCAGGCCCACGTGTCCAGGGCTTGGTCCCAACTTGGTGGTGCGGGAGGTGGGGCCTTGTCAGTCCTCAGGTCCTTGGGTGTGTGTCCTTGAAGGGGACAGAGGACCTCGGGGCCCTCCTCCTTCTGTTTTGATCCTGGCCATGCGTGAGCAGTCTGCTCTACCCTGGGCTCCCCCCGTGAGGTGCTGCCTGGACCCAGGCCCCAGGCAACAGGCCAGCCAGTCAGACTGACACTTCCAACGCCGTGAGTCAGAGAGACCTTTTCTCTAGGTTGAAAACCGGCGTGTTGTGATAGTGACAGAAAGCTGGCTAGCATAGCACTACATGGTCCTAGGGCACAGTCCACTTTAGTTCCAACAGGCCTTATCATGCCCATTTAATATGTGGAAGCTGTAGCCCAGAGAGGTTCAGTAACCTGCACCATCACACACAGGCTGGGGCGAATCCAAAGCCACAGGGCACCATGCTCTGGGATTTCACACTGTCCTGCCCGGAGCTACAGAGCAGAAGACTCACCTATTTCTGATTCTGATAGTTCTTTACCCAGATCAGGAACCTGGACCACGTGCATTTAGTGACGACAGAATAACCCCTATGCCCCCAGGTTTGTAGGAATCCACAGAAAGTCCCACCAGGGTCTGGCCAACAGGCACAGAGAGCTCACCGAAGCTGCCCGGGTCAGAGAGGATGACTCACCAGTAAGGCACAGGCGTCTGCGAACATCAGCATGTAGAACACGTTGCTCCATCCCGAGGGGGAGATGAGCCCCGCCAGCAGGGGGCCCAGGGCTGCTCCTGGAAGAGGCAACACGAACATGGAGGCACCGGAAGACTGTGCCTGGGGCCACCTGGTGCCCTGCGCCCTGGGGACACAAGGAGGATGCCCGGCAGCCACCGGCCACCGTGAGGAGGCGCAGGGTCTCAGCCTGGGGGAGCTGGCCCGCCTTCCTCGGGAACCATTGTAAGGATAGATGTTGATATTTTAAATGTCCATTCTCTTTTGGGGGGTACCGGGGACTAAACTCGGGGGCACTGAGCCCCATCCCAGCCCTATTTTGTATTTTATTTAGAGACAGGGTCTCACTGAGTGGCTTAGAGCCTCCCTTTTGCTGAGGCTGGCTGTGAACTCGCCATCCTCCTGCCTCTGCCTCCCGGGGGGCTGGGATCATTTTAGGCCACTGCGTCCAGCCTGAAATGTCCATTCTTTTGGTCCAACCTTTCCATTATTATTATTTATGTAAAGAAATCTGAATCCAACATGCAGTGTTAGATATTTTTATGCTATAAAAATCTTACTGGTAAATTTGAATAAGATTTGTAGGAACCAACAATCGGTCAACGTTGACTTCCTTGTTCTGATCACCGCACTGAGGTGGCATCAGGGAACTGTCTGCGCTTCACCCTTAGAAAGCCATGCGCCTGTGTGCGTGAGAGTGTGTGTCTGGCACCTGGGTGTGTGGACACAAGAGAAGCTTGGGGCAAAGCTAACACACTGCAATTCTGTGAACTCCTATTTTCATAAGTTTCCTCCAAGTACAAAATTATGCCAAATAACATTTAAAAACCATGAAAGAAAAGGGCATCCTCCAAAGTGCCCGGGTTTCTATGCGCGATGGTCAAGCAGCGCTTGGTGTGTCCCTCGCGGCTGGAGTGGGGGCACTCGTGGTGGGAAGAAGACTGTCAATTGAGACTGGGCTCTGGACAGGTGGCCCTCTCCAGGTGAGAGGCAGGCTCACTCTTAAATGTGGGGATGCGGAGGCCAAGGTTCTCCCTGCCCCTGGGGACGTTCCAACACAGAGCGAGCAAACAGGAGGACGCTGCAGGACAGGAAGGCTGGGGTACAAGCCCTCGGAGGGCTAGGAGAAAACCAAGCTGATCCGTGAAACTGGCCCTTTGTGATGAAAAGCAGTTTGTTATCAGCAAGTTCACGGTTCAGTAGCACGCACACACACACACACACTCACACACACTCACACACTCACACACACTCACACACTCAAGAACAGAAAACATTAATGAGCACTAAACACAGGACATGCAAAGCAGGAAGTCCAACGTGAAGTCTGGAGAATCGACTGAGAAGACATCTGGGAAAGGAGAAGAGAGCAGGGGAGCAGGAAGGAAACAGAAAGAAAGAATAGAAGGACCCGGGAGGCAGCAGCGGACGCCTGTTCTCCAGGAAGAACAAGACACAAACCCAGAGACGGCAGGAAACTTATCAGAGAACCACGAGCTCAGTGCCCCTAAACGAAGGGCCTGTGTCCGCAGCACGAGGGGCCCCGGGCGCCACAGCGTGGGGGGAGGGGAGCGCCCCGAGGATCCAGGAGAAGGCCAGGCGCGGGGACTGGGGAGGAGTGACAGCAGACGTCCCACCACCGTGGAGCTGGGAGACACGGAGCTGCACCCCGTGAGAGCCGAGTCCTGACCCCGGGGACTTGTCACTTTTCAGCATTTGCCTCCCGAGAACTCGGGAAGCTACCAGGAGACATTCCCACCTCGGCGGTGTAAACGGGATCTGGGGCCCAGGAGAAAGGGGCTCGTGGACCACGGAGGCCACGTGGTGCGGCAGGCTGCCCTGGGGCCTCGCGTGGCTACGTGGAAGGACAGTACCAGGGGGCACCTGGGAAGGAACCTGTGGAGGCAGGGCAGGTGTGGCCAGGGGGGGACCCAGCCCGCGTGCTGAGGGTGGTGATCTGCTTCCGGCTGGAGGAGGGGAGAGCACCGAGCTGCCTGGGGACAGGCGGCAGCTCAGGATCAAGTCCACCTTCCTCTGCAGGAGGACGGAGGCTGGGGCAGGAGGGCCGGGCTGCGGGTCCCGTATGCTTGGCTTTGATAAGAATCAAGTGGAAAACGCAGGGCGAGCTCAGTTGCTCTGTGTGAGAGGTGTGGACATGGCACCCTGTGCCCACTGGGATGAAGCACGTGGACTTGGGCCACTGGAGCCCTGGCCTTGGACTGTGAGAAGGTGCCCATTGCAACCAGCGAGCTTGGCCATGACCTCACCCGCGCACGCTCCTGGACACCCACGCCTAATGGACACGCCAGTGCCTGCCGAGGCTCCCTGTCTCCCTCCGTCTTTCTTTGCCTTTGTCTCTTGGGTGGCGCACGTGGGCAGAGACAATGACTGAGATGCAGTGGAGGACTGGTGCGTGCTGTCTCCATGGTGACCGTTTCCCAGGCCTCGTGTGCTCCAGCAGGCAGCGTGGCCCAAGGGGCTGGCAAGGCTGCAGTCAGACCCCGTCAGAGCTCTGACTAAGGGCAACCAAGCTGAGGTGGGCGTGGCGGCTCCAAGGAGGTGACTGCAGAGGAGCCAGGCCAGGGAGTAGCCCGGCGGGCCTCACCTTCCTCCCTTGTGGCAAAAGGGGTTCAGAACAAGACTCATTCTCCTGCCCAGCCCAGGGGGTGTTGGAGGGGACAGGGCACCTCCGCTCACAGAGGAGGCATTGCCTCCCTTCACCAGCCACTCCTGCCGTCCCTCATTTGAAGAGAATCAAGAAAGAAGTGTTTTACTGCACGATTTGTATGTCTCCTCTTTACACCCTGGCTGCTCAGATTTTAGGAGCCAGTCCGTCCTGACATTGGCTCTGGGAACCCTGGACACCTGTCAGGTAAGACGGGCTCTGGGTGGCCTTGCTGCGTACCTACAGACCCGGTGCCGTCGATGATGGCCGTCACGGTGGACAGGGCATGTGCGTTCCCTTTCAGACTCTTGTGAGTGCCCTAGAGGAGGGGAAAAGGAACGTGAGGCTCCGGTTGCCTCGGCCCAGTCACATGCAGAATGCACTCCAGGGCCTGCCAACCACACGCACGCACGCACACACACACTCACATGCACACACACACACGCACGCACATACACACACGCACACGCACACGCGCACACACGCACACACTCACACGCACACGCGCACACACATGCACACGCACAC